AAGGGAATGAATGAAAGAAAAAAGGGAATGAAAGCATGAACATGACAGAGAAGGATAGGACAAGACAGGGAGAAACAAAGAAAGTGAATGTGAAGGAAGAGGAATGAATGAATAAGAGAAAAAACGAAAGCAGGAATATGAAAGAAAAATAGAGAAGGAGAGAAGGAAGGCAACAGACTCACCAAAAGACCCTCCTACCCCTGAGGCCGTGTTACTGCTGATGCTAACATACTGCCCCACCACCCCCCAAGCAGGCCAGACCCCAGCACTGACCCCAGCCCAGCAGCAAGGAGAGCCTTTGGGGTGGACTGTGCTGGAGACAGTGGGCTGCACCCGGCTGGTTAGCTGGTGCCTTAATGAGCTTGAGAGGGGTGGGGGATGGACTTGCTTTGTGTTGCAGTTTCCAGTGCAGGGGCTGGGGGCTCCATGGGAGGGGGAAAAAATCCTCCCCCTCCCCAAACTCCCACCATGATTCACCTCCCCCCGTCCAACACTGACCCTCCCTGCCTGCAGGGACAGCGGTGGCATTTGTGCAACAGGTCTCCCATGCTCGTTTAACATGGCTGTTGGTGCAGCACCTGCCCTTCCCTCCTTCCCCTTCCCTCAGCCAACCACGCCCACTGCAGTCACTAGTGCACCATGCTACTTGGCCCTGCCATCACTCATGATGTCTCGCACGCACAAACATGCTTTGTGTTCACAAGGATCTGAGACCTGCATGGGGGGTGGGGCTTTGTCTGACATAGAATGGTCTTTACTTGTGACATTCTGTGCCCCATGATCATATGGATCACTAGCACCTCACACTTGTGGATGTGTATGAGCCCACCTGCCCTAGTGCTCACCTGTGCATGGCAGTCTTCCTTGCTAGGAGCCACTAGGAGACCTCACAGGCCCCATGTTCCCCATCTTCATGAACACTTATGACCCAGACCCTTGTGAAACTGCCCCCACCCAGCCCTTGTGTATTCATGCAGCCCATCCACTCGCTAGTAGTACCTCTAACCTCCTAGACACCCCCTACTCCCCCTCCTCACAATCACTCGTGCATCACAGCCAGATTCTTGTGTGACACACTCGGACCTTGTGAATCCCCCCAACCACCTTTGTGCATTACTGAAGCCCACCTAGTCACTAGAACAACTCACAAGCATTGCATTCCCTGTCCTCGTGCTCTCTTGTGCATCCCAGATCCTTGTGCATTGCATGCCTGGCCCTGGTGAAATTGGTTTGATGCCGCTGCTCACTAGTGCAGCAAGGTCCCAATGGCATCCTCAGGACCACTGCTGCATCAGAACCACCAGAAGCCTCCATCCACATGCCAGACCCTCGTGAGTCTTTATGCATTGCACCCTTGACCCCATGAGGGAGGGGGGGAGACAGGAAGAGTGATGGGCTCTTTTAATCAAGGCAGATTCGAATGGTGGCAGCGAGCCTGGGGCGTGGGGGTTGGCGGCGCACGTATCAATAGACCAGGGTGAACATGCCACACGGCTAATTGGGCCTCAGGAGCGGAGAAGGGGTGGGGTGCAAGGCCCAGGCGCTAAATCATTCTCTTAAATTAGCAGCAGCTTGAAGCCACCCCCATGCCCCCAACAAAAGGCAGCAAGACAGACACAGCACAGACAGGGGAATGGGGACTTGTCTGCTGTCCTTCTCATCTCTCCGAGATAGAGATAGAGAACTCAGGAGTCCTAGCTCCCAGCCTATCCCCTGCCCTTCTCCCCTCCCAGAGCTGGGAGAGAACCCAGGTGTCCTGGCTGCCAGCCCCCTCTGCTCTAACCCACCAGAGCTAGGAAAGAAGCCAGGAGTCCTAGTTCCCAGGCCCTGCCCCAATCCACCAGACCTCTTCCCCCCCCACATTTCAGACAGTGCAATAACAGTGTGTGTAGGGCCCTTTCCCTTTAAATAGCACCCCGGTGGGCAGGGGTCCACCCTCTCCCAGCTGCCCCTGATGGGGCTGTATCCATTTAAGCTCTGCCCCAAGCCTAGCCTGTCTTCCTTAAGTTTCCCTGGTCCTGGTGCTGGGTCAGCCATGGGGTGCTGGCTTGTGGGGCTTTTCTCCCTCTGCTTGGGGCTGGGGGTTGCCTCCCTGCCCCCCCTAGGTGAGTCTTGGGGTGTTGTTGTGGTCTGAGCTCACCATAGTGAGGGGGAAAGGGAGGGGCTCTATTAGAACTAGCCAGGATGCCTGAGTTCTCTCCTAGCTTGGGGCTGGGAGCTAGGACTCCTGGGTTCCTTTCCAGCTCTGGAGTGGGACTGGAGCCTAACGGGTTAGACTGATGTGGGGGCAGAGGAGGAGGAACTGGAAGCCAGGATACCTGGGTTTTCTCTGCTCTGGGAGGGAAGTGGGAGTAGATGGGGAGGCCTGCTTCTATGTCTCCTCTTTTCCTTGTCCCCACTCCCCCACTTCCCCAGACTACCCCATAGCCTTGTACTCCGGGGTCTCCTGTCTCTCCACCACCCTGAGGCTCCGCCCTGCCTTCTGCCTGTATGAGCAGTGGCTTCGGGCTAGCGTGGACCCCAGTGAGGCCCCCCGGGCATCAGCCACCATTGAGGTACAGGTCCAGCCCACAGGTAAGCCAGCGGGGGATTGAGCTTAGTAGGTTAGAGAGGGTGGGTGTGTGTTGGGTGGGTAGGGGGTACTGGGGCCAGGACACCTGGGTTCAATCCCAACTCTGGGGAGTGGGGGGGCTGGGATCCAGCCTAGGGTCTCCCCTGGCTTGGGGAGGGGTCCTGCTATTGCTCCCTGTAATTCCTTCCCCCCCCCAGGGGATAACGCCACCTACAAGGTGCCCGGCACGTTCCCCATGCCGCTCTGCAGCCCCCTGCACCAGGAGCCCATGGCCCCACAGGAGTTTGCCTACGATATGGGGCCCAGCCTGGAGTGTCTCAACGACACCTGTTTGCTGGGGGTGCTCCCTGGGCACAGCTACAGGTGTGGGGGGCATAGCTGTGAGGGGGTGGGGAGCTACATTGGTGGTGGGCAGGGAAATTTTTATGGGAGAGAACTGAACTGAGGTTGGGGGGTGGGGTGGCTCCCAGGGGTAGGAACCCTGATGCCTGGGTTCCCTCCTAGCTCGGGGAGTAGAGTTGGGAGCAGGGGGGTGGCATTGATGCCTGGGCTCTCTCCCAGCTCTGAGAGGGGAGTGAGGACCTGGTGGGTGAGGGGAGCAGGGGCTGGGAGCCCAGATACCTGGGTTTCCTTCAACTACTTTCACCACCTCCTTGCAGGGTCCGCTATGTGCTATACAACCACGCCATGGCACAAGTTGCCATCACAAACTGGTCCCAGCCCTTTGAGACCCGAGGTAGGAGACCCAGGCAGGGGGCTTTCTCCCCAGCAGGAGACACTGGCTTTGATCCCACCCTGGGTGGGTCAATGCCTAGGGGTGGGAAGGGCTTGTGCAGAAACTGGTGCCCCCCTGGGGTGGGAGGGGGGGCAGTAGGTGGCCTCCCACCCCTCCATCCTCATAGATCACCCATGTCTTGCCCCCCCAGGACTCCCCCAAAGCTTCCATGACATCGACCCCAGCCCTGGGGGGCATTCGGGGGGCATGGTCGTCCTCACTGTCCTCCTCAGCCTCTCTGTGGTCCTACTCCTGACTGCCATGGGACTGACTTTCCTCTGGGGGCATCCCTAACCCCCAGAGACCCTCCATGGCCTGTGTGGGTACAGGGGAGACCCCCACCCCTCCAGCCCTGCCATTATCTCCACTGTATAACCATTATTACCATTGTAATAAAGCACCTGTCTGTCCATCCATCCCATGCATCTGTCTGTCTGGTGGGGATTAGCTTTAATTTTTTTTTTTTTTTGGGGTGGGGTAGACTAAGGGGGAGCTCCCCTCTGTAGCTAGCTGCAGTAATAGAGCTTTTACTCTATCTCCCCATGAGCTACTGGGGGGGCCTCACTCAAGGCTAATTAGTCCCATTTTCAGGACAACCCCCAGGGAGAAACTGCCTGTTGGAGAGGGGCTCAAAGCCAGCACTGTCCCCAGCACCCCATAGAAGCAGTGTATTGGGAGGGGCCGGGGGGTGGGGGATGGAGAGGCTGAGCAGGGGTGAGCCCAGTCTGGAGCAGCGTGAGGCACTGTGCCCCTGGTTGGGCACTACCCAACTTGCGGGGGAGGGGGAGTCTCCCTTAATTCAGAGGGGGTGGGGGGACAGGAACCCCAAATTATCACCTACCCTCCATGGCCTGGGGTCCCCTAGCAGTGCTGTGGGGAGAGAGCATATCCCATACCTTTGCTCCCTGCCACCCAACTGCCCCCCCAGCCCCACCAGTGCTGTTATTGTTGTTGCTGCCAGCAGCTCTGCGTCATTGCTGCCTGGGCCCTGGGGACCCCCTGCTACCTGCTTCCCACCCCTTGTCCCAGGGGAGGCTTAAGTGTTATCTCCCCATACTTCCACCCAGCGCCTGTGTTACCTCCCCATACTTCTGGGCAGTGCCTGTGCCCTCCAGCTCCAGTGGCAGTGCCCCTCCTCTGCTGCCTCCCCAGGTGAGTCTGGAGGGGGACTTTCTTCTAGGGGCAAGACCCCTCCCCCAATAAAACTAACAAAGGCTCTGTCCCTTCTAGTTCTGCCTGTGGAAGGTGGGTACACACTGCTCTACCCCTTTAAATGCTCCCTGGGGAAGGGGCTGGGGGAGCTCATGTTAGGGGGGGGTGACCCAAAACTATTTAAAGGCACAGGGGTCAACTTTCAGGGGAGGGGGGACACCCCTTCAAATACAGAAGACCTATTTTCCTTTGGGGGAGCTTTGGGGGACCCCCTTCCCCAGCACCCCTTTCTCCCCCTTTCACTCCTTAAAGGGACAGGACATATCTCAGCTGGCCTGGGGCTGAACTGGAGGGGGAAGGGGGGTCTTTGGGTGGGATAGGATTTATCCCTTCTGGTGCCAATATGGAAAGGGGGTAAGAGAGAACCCCTCTCCCCCTGCTATAAGGGGAATTTAAAAGGACTGCCTGACTAGGACAAACCAGAGGGCAAGGGAGTGGGGGTACTCCTTTAAATCCCCCTGAGACATGCCCTTAGACTATCCAGGTGCACCCCCCTTCTCTTTTAGGTGTTTAAAGGGACAGTGTACAATTTCTCAATGGTGAGGGCTGCCCCATAAACCTGGGAGTAGCAGGGTGGGGAGAGGGGTGGTTCTGGCTTGTGTGGGAGGGGGGCTGGGGGACCGGGGAGGGGGGGTATTTCCAGGCTGGGTTAATAGAGCAATTGCTGGGGGGAATAAGGAGGGGAGCCCTTCCAGTGCCTGTATTTTGAGGCTCTCCCTTTAACTGTACAGCACAGCACCCCCCAGGGCTGAAAATGCAGCTTGGGAGGGGGGGGGAGCAGAGGCCTGTTGCCAGGGCAGTTGCCTAGCAGCACTACATAAACAGGGCCAGGAAGGGGTGTCCTGGGGGATCCCCAGGGTGGGGAGGGTAGCTATGGTCACAGCCCCCACCTTGGGAGCATGGTTTCCTGCCTGAAGGGGAAACAAAGGCTGGAAGCTGTGCCCCGCCCCCCCCCCCACCAACATGGCACTCAGCATAACCCCTTCTTGCCCATGCCTCACCCTCCCCTTCCTCTGGCAGTGGGGGATCACCCTCCAGCTCCCCAATACCCCCCAGCCCCTCCCAGCCCCCTGCCACTAGCAGAAAGGAGACCCCTGGCCAGCCACTGAGAGGGGCGACCCCTGGAGATGACATCCTCCACAAGACCCTTGGGGCTGCCATGCTGCACCCCCCTCTCCAGGAGACACTGCAGCTCCCAGGGGTTGAGATGGTGGTGCTGGTGGAGAGGGTGGAGCGGAAAGGTAATGGTGTGGGGGGCCCTAGAGCATAAGATAAGGATGGGAGGGAAGAGGTGAGGGATGCAGTGGGGGTTGTGGGGGAGGGTCCT